TAGCGGCCAGAGGGGAGGTATCGGCATGCTTAGAGGCCGGGGGGGTTGGCGTGCATAGCAACCAGAGAGGGGTTGGTGAGTTTAGCGAGCAGGGGGCACAGCCCCTTAGTGTGTGTGTGTGTGTGTATAAAGTTTTTGTCAATGCTAATATAAATCTCCTAAGTCACTAAATCAGAGTAGTCATAGCTGGGCAGTAAATTTTACTCTATCATGTGAGTTATCGGCATGCTTAGAGGCCGGGGGGGTTGGCGTGCATAGCAACCAGAGAGGGGTTGGTGAGTTTAGCGAGCAGGGGGCACAGCCCCTTAGTGTGTGTGTGTGTGTGTATAAAGTTTTTGTCAATGCTAATATAAATCTCCTAAGTCACTAAATCAGAGTAGTCATAGCTGGGCAGTAAATTTTACTCTATCATGTGAGTAAATAAACCTGACAGTAGATAGAAGGCACTGAACACACAGAGGTGGCCTGGGAATAATTCATCACAATAAAGGAAAAGTTTCTTCAACATTTTTTTACAACAATTTTTAATGACAGTAGCAAATTGGAGAGAAGATGAAAGCAGCAGTGATTACTGAAGCAATAACTTTCCATCACCATTCAAGTGCTGATGACAGCATTACTCTGCAAGCTCTCAGCCCCTGGCAGATGGCGTTAGTGTTATCACAGAGTGGTGCTTTAGTATCACTCTGCTTATCAGGAATAACTGTCAGGTAAACAAACACAGGCTGCAAATCCAGTCACCTCATGCCCATCCAAAGCAAACACTCAGCACACTTAGGCTCTGAGTTCCCTTTTGTCTTAATTTAGTAAGGCTGTTGTCAAGTTTTTTCTGGAGCAGTTATTAAGGTGAATTTGTAGGCAGCTCTCCTAGGAGCTAGGCTGCAGAAAAAAGCAACATTTAAAGCAAACATCGAAGGCTTTTGGAAGATTCAAGAAGCATCCCATTTACAACATGTGAAAAATGAGCTGTGAATTACAAGGGCACATTTTGTCATGAAACCATTTCGAAAAGCTCATCACGAATGAATCTGTCAACTGCCTTTTGTAACCTGTTTGTGTTTGCCTGTTGCCCAGCACCCAGCCTCCTGTGTGGATCTGAGAGGAAGCTAGGCACTACCAACATGGATAAACTAAGTTTCAGGCCATGTGTGTCTGAAAGATTCTCCTGCGGAACAGAGGGTGGGAAACACATTTTAAACGGTTACATTCCCTTATAAATACTATGGAGATAAATGTGATACATGTTGAACCTCTGTTATCTGGACTTCCCTAGTCTGGCAACACCCATGGTCTCTGGTGTCACTGGTGACCTCCATGGGTACTCCTGGGCTTAGCACTCCTGGAGAAAAAATGTCAGGCTGTGACCAGGCGTGTTGCTGGACCAGGGAAGAACAGAGCCCGAGCAGGTGAGCCCTGGGGACAGGCACCCTGAAAGCCAGAGTGGGGGAGACATAGTGACACAGGGGTCCGGCAGTTGGAGCAGCGGCTCCACAGTGCCCTGGAGCCAGCATAGAGGAGCCCCGGCAATCCGGAGGGGGAAGGGGCGAAGCAGGGGAGCTCCGGTGCCCCTGGGGACAGCAGCTAGAGCCGCAGAATCCAAGACACTGGCAGCTGGGAGCAGAGCCAGGCCAGCTGCTGGGAGTAGAGGGGCCAGCATTGATCTCCCCTGGTCTGGGAAATTCCCTGGCTAAGGATCAGGCTAAGGGTGCTGGACAGGAGGGTTAAATCTGTACCACCTGTATGATGCTTACCACAGTCAGCTTGGTAGTGTGACTCAGGAAGTGCAGTGTGGCTTTCAGGAGAAATGGGCAGCCTGCCAAGTACTGCACATTACAGTGCACTGGAGAGGTGGGGCCTGGCAAAGTTCCTAGCCAGCAGATTATCCACCAGGTCCCTCTCTGAGCTCTCCTTTGGATGCCAGGTAGGAGGCTCTGTGCACTTCTCACCGAGACCCAGCACACCCTTAGTACACGGGATTGGATTTGGCCCCAAATGATTTCAGCTCTCCTCATCCCTCAGCAGGGATGTAAGAGTGTAGCCGGCTAAATGATTAACCGATAAAGTGGATGCTTCTCAGTTAATGCTACCAGCTATGCACAGCCCATTCCCCTCCCCCCCTCAGTATGCCAGTACATTTTTTAGCAGGCTGGCCAGCCACCTGGCTCAGTCCTGGCTCACACCTGGTCCTGGGAGCTACCCCTGCTGCAGCTCTGCAGGAAAAGTATTTCAGGATCTGGCAGGCAGGCTGGGCCAGTCCCAGCTCACACCTGATCCCAGGAGCTATCCCCACTGCAGCTCTAAGAGGGTATGTCTACACTGCAAGAGGGTATGTCCTCCTGCAATGAGGAGTAACGGTAGTTCGAATTAATAGCTTTAATTCAAACTACCTAGCCCGTGCCGCGTGTAGCATTTAAAAATGGCGGCGCCCGAGAACATGCAAATGAAGCCCGGGATATTTAAATCCCGGGCTTCATTTGCAAGTTTGAATGCCTTCGTTAGCCACCCTAGTTCGAACTAGGGGGCTAGTGTAGACATACCCAGCGTTATTACAGAGCTGCAGCAGGGTTAGCTCCCAGGACCCAGCATGAGCCAGGACTGAGTGCTTGCAGTGCTAACACTGATCAATTAACCATGCAGTCGCCAACATTAATGCATTACTTGCTCCTTACCATCCTTGTTTCTCAGACACACACCCAGCTTCCTGAGACCCTCTTGTCTCTGTTCTCCATTATTTCTCCTCGCCTTCCCCTCCAATGCTTTCCATTGCAAGGGGAGTCTGAACCACACCACATTCGGGCTAAAGACAATGGTAGTAGCCATTGCAGTGACTGTTCATGGATTAACATGAGAGCAGCTGGGCCCAGGGCAAAGCAAAGGGAGGGGGCCCAGAGCAGGGCTTGTTAGGTAAAGAAATCTCAGGTAAAGTTCAGAAGAAGCTGAGTGTGGTGGGAAGAGGGGTTGCTCACTATGGGTGCTTTGAGAGAGGGGGCAGGAATTTTTAGATCTCAAACACTGTACAGAGAAAATCAGTATCATTCCTTATTCCCGTTTTAGAAATGGGGAAACTGGGTCACGGGGAGCTGGTATGACTTGTCCAAGGTCACCCGGCGGGCTAATGGCAGAACCAGAGATGGAACCCAGGGTTCTGAGTTCCTGCCCAGTGCTCTATCCACTAGGACAGTGTGGTGGTGGGAGGGAATATTTTTTGATGGAAGGCCACTCTCAGAATGTGGTAAGTGGCCAGGGACGGCACTTTCCTATGCTATTAATGGAGGGTATGTGGTGGCTGGGATGAGTTTGGGTACAAGAGTAGGAGATTGGCGTGCAGGGTTGGGAGGGAGTTTGGCTTGGAGCAGGGGTGACGGGGAGGGCAGGGTCAGAGGGAGTTTGACTGCAAGAGGGGGTTGGGACCTGGGGCACAGGTGTAAGGGGTGGGGCAGGGAGAGAGTCTGGGTGTGGAATGGGGTTGACAGCTGGGGTGCAGCCAGAGGTGCAGGATCTGGCTGGGAGGCACTTACCATAGATATCTCCTATCTGGAAGTCCAGTGGACCCTCAGGCAGGCTCCCTGGCTGCTACAGCCTCACATGCCACTCAAAACACCTGGCTCCTCGGGCTGATGTGAGTATCTGTGTGCAGCACATGCACCTCTTAGGGAGGGTGTCTCCACACCATGCCCCTCTCCCAGCATTATCCTCATAGCCTTCCATTGGCTGGGTTGAAGTTGCAGCCGAGGTGCTTGTTGACATGTACAGCCTGCTGCCCCACTCTCTTCAAGGGGCGCACTGTGCAGTGACATTCACACTGGCCCCAGCAACCAGCCACTTTGAGTAGCGTGTGGGGCCATGGCAGGCAGGGAGCTTGACTGAGGGTCCTGCTGGGCCACAGTGGGCTGGATGCAGCCCACTGGCCATATTTGGCTTGCCCCTGCACTAAGCCATAGTTCCTACCAAATGAGTCCAAATCTTTTAGACTTCATTCTCTAAACATTTCAGCTCTTTTCCACAATGGTACTTTCTACAGGGCTGTTCCATTTCACTCATGGACCTTGGTTTTCTTCATGGGAAATCCCCCCAGGTGACTCCAGCAGAAAACATTGTCTGAGCCAAACCAAAGTCTGCTAAGCCCTGGAAGATGTCCTCATACTTCCTGTGCCTTCCTTCAATGACCCTGGCCTTTTGAAACTGCTCCATGATATCAATAGCCCAGAAAGGCTCTGCTTTGTCTACCTGAAAAGAGGATGAAATGTATGCAGAGGCCAATGGTGTGGAAAACAAGTTTCATAACTAGAGAAAGCATCAGCGTGGGAATGCACATCATCCTTAATTAAAGAAATACAGTGGAAAACGGCTCTTTGAGGGGTCCCGGAGGGAGATTAACTGGGCGCTCACAGATCATTGCTGTTCATGCCTCTAAGCTTTACAAACAGACATTAATTAAAGCAGGCACACATGCAGTACTTTACGCTTGTTCAGCTATGTCTCTGTTCATCAAGCTGCCTTGGAGTAGCTTGCTGGGATTGCTAGAGTTATTGTTCTTGAAACGTGGCAACATAGTCAGCTATTAAAGTTACTTACAAAGAGCCAGTCTGTGAGCATAAACATTTGCTTCATCCTTCATTCTTGGGGTAAAGAAGTGAACACAGTTGGAAGTCAATGACATGTTGATCTAAAACTCTGGATTTCAAATCTCTTCATGCATCCGTTTTTGTCTGTGGAGTAGCCATTGGTTTAAAATTGATGACAGTGCATTGAGTTACCATCTGATTAACAGTGTCCTTATCTCCTTTCAGGCTTGGGGAACAAGTGAATTTCCTGTTGCACTCCAGTACTCCCACTGTAAATGAAGAAAAATGGACAATTCCTAATTCTCTCCTCTTCCCCCACCTGCTCTAAGAACCAGGAATAACTCATATCTTTTCAGCTTAATTTAGGGGGGGAAGGGGATGAATGACTTGTGTATGTCAAACATGTGCAATCATTCATATATTTAGCATGGACAAAACTCAAGCAAAACAGAAGCAATTAGCCAGGAAACCCTTTTTTGCGTAAGGAATTTGATGGTCATTGTGTAAAACATCACAATAAGCTAGCACTTTTTAAAACCGCTTTTCCATCACTATCCCCAGTGGAACAATTGTTTGCTGCTGATTCAAGTTTTTCTCTTTTTCTGATTGTACCTTGGAGACCTATGAATATGGTTATATGAAATTCAACAGTCTTCCCCACAGGTTTTTGTACAAAGCATTGTTGGATTTAATTCAGGCAGGTTTCACAGCTGTGCTTTGCAAAAATAGTAAATATTTGGAGCCTGAAATTTAGCAGTTTTATTCAGGACCATTGACTGATGCTACCACATCACTTTTATTGTTGGGGGTGGGTGGAGTGAAAGGGAGTTTTCATACAAAATGTCTGAAATTTTGAGATCACAAAGTATAATATGAAAACAGATCTGCTAAAAGTGAAATTTCATAAATCAAAGTTTCCAGAAATGTTAGGACTTTCACTTGGATACATTACATTTAATGTAAACATGTATAGTCCCCAAAATTTCGAGATTTTAAAAAGAAAAGCGTTATTTTGCAGCTGTAAAGTTAAATTGAGGCTATTTTGCTGAAATTAAACAAAATATGAAAATTTAAATGTGAGGTTTTAATGTTTTGTTGCAAACACTGTTATTTGTATAATCCCACTTTGCAATTCCATGTCTCACTTTCAGTTTCAGATTCAAGCAAATCTAAAACATATACTCAAAATTCTGTTTCCAAAATTTATATAGTTTAAGACTGAAACCACCAAATTTCATGCTAGTGATCAACTTGCAGTGATGGAATCTAAAAGCTCTTTGTTATTTATGTCCAAAATACAGGCAGTCCCCGGGTTACATGGATCCGACTTACATCGGATCCCTACTTACAAACGGGGTGAGGCAACCCTGCACTAGCTGCTTCCCCCCAGCAGACTAGGGAGACGCGAAGCTAGCACCCCTCCCGAGCAGACCGAATAAAGGCCTGAGGGAAGTGAGGTGTGGGAGAATAAAACTGAGCTCTGGAGAAATGTTTGGCTAGAGTTTCCCCTACAATATGTACCAGTTCCGACTTACATACAAATTCAACTTAAGAACAAACCTACAGTCCCTATCTTGTACGTAACCCGGGGACTGCCTGTACATATAACTTCATCTTCAAATGGTACTAAATTTTGCAGCAACTGAAAATTATGCAGCAGCATTTAATGAATTGGAAAATACTCAAAGCCACAGGTTTTCATCAAATAAACAATTAAAATATCTTTAATGTTATCTGTTATTAAATAAAGAAATTACTGTCCAGGCATTTGAGTTTACTGCAGAAATCAACATGGGTACCATAGAAATCAGTATGTGTTAACACAGACTTTAGCAAGTAGCAGCTGAAATGGGAAAGGTTTGTGATTATCATCAGCTAGGAAGTGAAGGTTTTGATCACTTGTTGCAGAAAGCACATAGTTCTTCCTGCTCTGGAGAATCCCAAACACTCTATTTTCTGCAAGGGTTTTTGGCCCTCACCTTCCTGAGAATGTTACTTTATACACACAAACACACCCCATTCTGGCTGCCTGCAGTGGATGTGGCCTCTGTCTGCTGTCCTTGACTCTCAGGGCTCATCTACATTGGCCCCTTTTCTGGAAGGGGCATGTTAATTTCAGAGATCGTAATAGGGAAATCCGCGGGGGATTTAAATATCCCCCGCGGCATTTAAATAAAAATGTCCGCCGCTTTTTTCCGGCTTTTAGAAGTAGGAATAAGATCCTCTGGAAAAGGGCACTTTTTCCGGAGGATCGGGGCCAGTGTAGACGCTCTTTTCCGGCTTTTCTAAAAGCCGGAAAAAAGCGGTGGACATTTTTATTTAAATGCTGCGGGGGATATTTAAATCCCCCGCGGATTTCCCTATTACGATCTCTGAAATTAACATGCCCCTTCTGGAAAAGGGGCCAGTGTAGATGTAGCCTCAGTGATATTGGGGAAGAAAACTGTTTAATGAGCTGTAGCAGCTGAAGGTAAGAGCAAGCTGAAGGTAAGAGCAAGCACCTTGTGATCAGCCAGTTCTCCACAGAGCATGGTTTAGGAAGTGCTGTGTTAGAGAATGAATGCATTGCCTATGCTGTTCCTCTGTAGAGTTTCTCTTGAGCAGAGAGCACCAGACATGTTGAATTAGTTTATGGGGTAGCATTGAGCTCAGTAGATCACTGGAAGTGAACCAGAAGGTCAATGTTGAAAGTCTATACTGCTATTCACTTACATGGCTTTCTCTTCCTATTATCAGTAAAATCCCCATTGCAATTACTAAACATTGGAGGATATCAGGAAAGAAGTCTTGGGAAAATTGTTCGTTTCTTTGAGACTTAGACATGTTTGTCAATTGCCTGTACGTAACGAACTAACGGTACGTTACTTAAGATGTGCAACTTTTTGTGTCTTCCAAAACCAGCTGTATTGTAGGCGTATCAAAAATATGTGGCAGGCTCATTTTCAGCATTCCTATCTAGTTCTGTAGCTTCATGTCTCTAGTTTTATTTTCTGCCAGGCCTTCCTGGTGTTTATTGGCCTGATTCTGATCTTAAACCATTCCATAAATTGGGAGTAGCTCTGCCGAAATCAATGGAGTCACACTGACATAAAACTTGTGTGAAATCAGAACCAGGACCATAGTATTTTGGATCAGGGCAACTGCTAGATAGATCTTCTACCTGTGATTTCTGTGATTATATGGCAACATCTAAATACAATATTAGAGGACAATGTCACACAAGATCATGTCAGGACAATGCAGGGACAAATCTCATAGGGTATGTCTACACTACCCTCCTAGTTCGAACTAGGAGGGTAGTGTAGACATACCCTATGAGATTTGTCCCTGCATTGTCCTGACATGATCTTGTGTGACATTGTCCTCTAATATTGTATTTAGATGTTGCCATATAATCACAGAAATCACAGGTAGAAGATCTATCTAGCAGTTGCCCTGATCCAAAATACTATGGTCCTGGTTCTGATTTCACACAAGTTTTATGTCAGTGTGACTCCATTGATTTCGGCAGAGCTACTCCCAATTTATGGAATGGTTTAAGATCAGAATCAGGCCAATAAACACCAGGAAGGCCTGGCAGAAAATAAAACTAGAGACATGAAGCTACAGAACTAGATAGGAATGCTGAAAATGAGCCTGCCACATATTTTTGATACGCCTACAATACAGCTGGTTTTGGAAGACACAAAAAGTTGCACATCTTAAGTACTTAGTCATTAGTCCAAAATTAATTGTCGACTATTTTTTTTCAATGAGTGCCCAATAAAGACAACTTCTTCGAGATGGATCCTATTTTTGAATGACAGTTGGGTTGATTGCAACATACTAATGCTATCCATCACAATAGCCCCTCTTTAGATCATCTGAGCCATTGGAAAAGGCCCTGCTGTTTACCAAGAGGAAAGTTCAGTCAGTGGCATGTGTTTATATTTGGATTTGAGTCTGCCTAGCCACCTGTGAAGCAGTTTTTCTAAGGATCGAGGTTTTTGTGCATGACTGAGTACTTGTCCATTGACCGTGCTAGCCAGCCAGTGGTTATGCAAACGTGTAGATACAGGTATTTCTATTTACTCAGTGTCTCCAGCTAGAGAAGCTCTCTTCTAAATTCTTGATTGCAGAGATGTCTTGGGGCAGCAGAGTGCAGTCATGAGTGGTGGGTGAACCACAGGCTCAGAGAGGCTAGCCCATAGCTTGGCCCTCCCCTCCTGCACAAGGTCTGGCAGAGTGCAGTCATGAGTGGTGGGTGAACCACAGGCTCAGAGAGGCTAGCCCATAGCTTGGCCCTCCCCTCCTGCACAAGGTCTG